TAGATGCATCATATTCTAGAAATAGCTTGCAAAACTAGTATTCTTCAAAGTGGTTGCAGAACCTGCAGAAGAAGCATGCCTTTTTCCCCAACAGAAGAAAAAAAAAAAAAAAACAGAGAAACTAGATTACACTGATATTGCTTTATATTGCAAAGTTTATAGATATAGACATAGTCAACAGAAAGTAGAGTAAATGGTTCTTCCAAAATCTTCTTGCTTGCAGGCACTCACTGTTTGGTTTAATTTCCATCTAATGAGAATGCATATCCCAAAGCTAGCCATGTGAGCTTTGTTCTTGTCTTAGTAGAAGATGGAAAATGCTTATGAACTTGAAGTAGTGATTGATTACTTGACAATTAAGATCAAGAGCCATTGTAAATCTGCACCTATCTTGTAGAAAATTTTCAAACTGGGAAGCTGGTAGTGGTCAAGCTATTGGAGATGTAAGTGGAATTTCTTGCTTATTTATTCTATCTCTGCCTATTTCATCTACTGCCTGCTTATATGTGATGATCGTAATACTACTTTACATCTCTCATCTGTTTCTTTTCTCTCTTGCAATTAATCCTGACTACTAATGTGCTTTTGCAGATTGATATGCCAATTGAATATATTTTTGGAATTTTTTCAAACTGGGAATTGAAGCTACTATTGGTCAAGTATTGAATATATGTAGAGGTAAGAAGAATTGCTTCTTATTTCCTTATAATTGAAGGATGTGTTTCGTTTCAACTACATTTGTTATTTATATATATGTTTTGTTCAACAATCAACAGTTCCGCTTCTCACTAATTGATATTGATTTGCAAGGCTAATATAATTCTAAAAACTTCTTCATGAGATTGATTACTTCCATTTCAAGCATTCTGTAAGGTGTTATATCAAAGATCTTATCGTGTCCTGGTTTCAAAGAGATTGTTAAGCTGATTGATTTACTTGACTAGTCAAGAGCTGATGTAAAACTGCACTGATCATCGGACTTGATTATGAGGAATTACCGTATCCACATGTAGAAGACAACTTGATCGAGCTCATAGTGAATTTACTGCCGTTTGTATAATTGTAATTATGCATAGACATATTGCAACATAGTATTTGATCTATTATAAAACATGACTAGTTTTCTGGTTTCTCATTCAAAAGATATTCTTTGCAAGCCAAATGTTTCAAAGGATTCATGTTGGTGGCTGTAGCAAGCAAGTTTATGATCTGGTGCCTGTATGAGATGATCCATGATATGAGTATATAGAGAAAATTACACTTTTGTTCCTATGACTATTTGATCTTGTTAATTTGAATACTTGACTTTAAAAACTATCAATTTAGTCTCGTAACTATGCAATTTTTAACACATTTGGTCCTTCCGGCCAAATCGCCGGAAAAATTAAAACTTTTAAAAGTTTTTATTCTTGAGGGTAAAACAGTCATTTTACATTTAAAACAAAAAAAAAAATTGTTTGCTTCCTTCTTCTTCGCGTACGAGCGACGGTTTCGCCGGACTCCGCGGACTACCTCGCTGCCTCCACCGGGCTACGTCGTTGCAACACAGTCATTTAAAATCATTTTCTTCCCCATCCTTCACGGCGGAATTGAGCGAGACCACCTAGCTAGACAGCTTTGTTCTCGTCGTTTCCCTCACCAACGTCACCGCCACCCTCCTCCTCTTCTTCCATGACTGCTTCGTTGGGGAGTGGAACTTCTACATTTCTACACCAGGAAGAGTGTTTGTCGATCAATGGAATTTGCAGAGTTGATTCTTGTGCCCAATTTCCGTTCCCAAATCGGAGTGAGAACTGAGACGGAGATTCTGATTGGAAGCCAAAATTCAGACCTCCGGTAGAGATTGGAGAGGAATCTTCAGTCATCTGATCGAGGACTCCACCGGACTACCTCGTTGCCTGAAGGAGGGGCGAGGGGGGGGGGGGAGCAGCGACGGTTTCGCCGGGAACCCAAGCCCGCCTTCGCCGGACTGCCTCGCTGCAACGCCAAAGCTTCCCGTCGTCGACCCAAAACCAGCAACGAGGAGATGAAGCAGCGGCAGCCGGGAGCCAGCGACGCCTGAAGGAGGAGAGATGCAGCAACATCACCGGAGAATCCAGCTCGCCTCCGCCATCTCTCAGCGCCGGCGACATCTTGCAGCAAGAGGAAGTTGCAGCAGCAGGGGAAGAGCGCCGAAAGGCCATCAACTAGTGTTGGAGTTGCCATCGTCGAATTGAGAAGCCAAGTTCGTCGTAGTTCTGTACGCGTTCTCGCCAAAAGGCCGTCAACTGCACAGTCCTCGTCATTGCATCAACTGATACGCGAAGAAGGAAGCAAATAACTGTTCACTTTTGTTTTAAATGTAAAATGACTGTTTTGCCCCCAAGAATAAATTTTTTTTAAAAGGTTTAAGTTTTTCCGGCAACATTTAACCGGAATGACCAAATGTGTTAAAAATTGCATAGTTACGGGACTAAATTGATAATTTTTAAAGTCAAGTACTCAAGTTAACAAGACCACAATAGTCACAGGATCAAAAGTGTAATTTTCTTTGACCCATATATGACTTTACATCGAGCTTTCTTTTCTGTTTTTGCAATTAATTTTTGTTTGCATATTAGTGTGCTAATTGAATATGTTGCAGAAAATTTTCTATTCATGATTATATATCAAGATCTTTGGCTATCTAAAAACTCTTCCAACCATCACCTTTGTCTCTTTGTTGATATGCCTACACAACACTGCTAATCTTGCAAGAACTTCCCCAATGGCTCATATTTTGTTTAATACAGTACATGTTTACACTTTATTTCACTTAATAATGACATAATTAAATTCGATATATATATATATATATATATATATATATATATATATATATATATATATATATGGTTGAATTCAAATGAGGACAACAATATATAGAGGACTATGGGGACAAATAATGGGCACACAACAAATTAATACCAGGCACACAACTTAATACATAATGGCACACAAGAATAAATGTAAACATCAGGTTTCGAACCCAGGTTCTATAAATTAACAAATTTAGCACGCGACATACAAAGTACAAACTGTGGCACACGACTACATTCGACCATGCACACAACATACCGGCTAATGGCACACACTATATCTGTCCCCACAGTCCTCTATAATATATATTTGTCCTCATTTGAATACACACACACACACACACACACACACACACACACACACACACACACACACATATATATATATATATATATATATATATATATATATATATATATATATATAGGGGTGATCACATGTGGTCATGTTGTTAGATGTGGTCATATGGTCAATTATAGGCCATTAGATTAGATAGATCCAATGAATCATATTAATCAAGATTTTTCCAGTATTTTCGCGCACATTCTCCTACCCAGTGAACTGCAAGGGTAAACTCGTCATAAAACACCGGAATAAGGAAAATCACATTGTTGTGTGTTTTATTACACTATTGGTGCATGTTGTCAACACTGTTGGTGTATTCTGGAACCCAACCGCTATAGAGGGCCACTGTAATTACCATAACATGAGAATACACCATTGGTGTGTATCACTGTGGTGTGTTTTATTACACTATTGGTGTATGTTGTCAACACTGTTGGTGTATTCTGAAACCCGCCCGCTATAAAATGGCCACTATAATTACCATAACACCCCCACTTACCAAAACGCGCGAAAATTCTCAAAATTATCACTGCCGTTAGATTAAACTGATTCAACGACACAGATACGACCACACCTAATGACATGACCACATATGAGCGCTTTTCTATATATATATATATATATATATATATATATATATATATATATATATATAGGGTCAGGTTCCTGTGAGGTCAGGTCTTCGCGTGTAGTCAGTGCGGCATACACCATTAGGTATGCATAAATGCACCACACAGTGTTCGAAAATACACCATTATGTGTGGTGTATTTTTTTTTGCATGGTGCATTTTTTGGCATTTCATTCTGGTGTATTCTCGAACACTGTATGGTGCATTTATGCATACCTAATGGTGTATGCCGCACGGGAAGACCTGTTCTCACAAGAACCAAAATATATATATATATATATATATATATATATATATATATATATATATATATATATATATATATATATATATATATATATATATATATATATATATATATTTTGGTTCTTGTGAGAACAGGTCTTCCCGTGCGGTCAGTGCGGCATACACCATTAGGTATGCATAAATGCACCATACAGTGTTCGAGAATACACCAGAATGAAATGCCAAAAAATGCACCATGCAAAAAAAAAAATACACCACACATAATGGTGTATTTTCGAACACTGTGTGGTGCATTTATGCATACCTAATGGTGTATGCCGCACTGACCACACGGGAAGACCTGACCTCACAGGAACCTGACCCTATATATATATATATATATATATATATATATATATATATATATATATATATATATATATATATATATATATATATATATATATATATATATAGATGAGTTAGGGAAAAGATGATTAATTGAATAACAGAATTATAGATACATTAATACTCTTAGAGAGAGAGAGCTATCTAATAGGCTAGAGACTAGATCACTAATAGATTGTTATATAACTAATTAATAACATAATAATAACTTTGTCTAATACTCCCCCTCAAGCACAAGGTAGGTGAGGGACCACATTGAGCTTGCCACTCAGAGTAGCGAACCGTGTTGCTGGAAGCGGTTTGGTGAAGATATCTGCTAGCTAATCTTTGGTAGACACAAAATGAACCTGAAGCTCGCCAGCCGAAACTTTGTCCCGGACAAAGTGATAGTCAACCTCGACGTGTTTGGTGCGAGCATGGAACACCGGATTTGCACACAGGTATGTTGCGCCTAGATTATCACACCATAGTGTGGGCGTAGAAACAGGCCCTAAGCCAAGATCCCGTAACAAGGACACAACCCAGGTAACTTCAGCACATACATCTGCTAGCCCCTTATAGTCTGCCTCAGTCGAAGAGCGTGCAACGGTGCGCTGTTTCCGAGAGACCCAGGATACAAGATTTTTACCAAAAAACACTGCATACCCACTAGTAGACTTGCGGTCAACAGGACAGCCAGCCCAGTCTGAGTCGGAGTACGCATGAATGTCCGAACTCTCTGAAGCCGCAATGCGTAGACCGTATTCCAGGGTTCCTTTAATATAACGAAGTACTCGCTTCAGCAGGCCCAGTGCTCATCAGTGGGCGAGTGCATGAACTGACAGAGGCGGTTGACAGAATAAGATAGATCCGGTCGAGTGATGGTGAGATACTGAAGAGCCCCGGCTAACCGACGGTATTGCGTCGAATTATCAAAGGAGTCAGTAGCTTGACATACAGGCTGAGTCACAGAAGCCGGAGTGGCTAGCGCCTTGCAATCTGTCATGCCGGCTCGCTGTAAAATATCCCGCATATAACGTCGCTGTGAAAGCATCATACCACCAGAGACAGGAATGGTCTCTATGCCGAGAAAGAATGTTGGTTGCCCTAGATCTCAAATCTTGAAGGTCGTCGCCAGTTGGCTTAGTATGGAGTCAACTAAGGCTGCGTCGCTCCCAAGCATGATGATGTCGTCCACGTAAACGAGTAGGAACACCCGAGCACCAGCAGCAGAGTAGTGAAACAGAGAAACATCTGTTTTGGAAGCAACAAATCCTATCAGAAGCAAGAAATCATGTAAGCGTTTGAACCAGGCGCGGGGAGCCTGTTTCAACCCATACAGGGAACGCTGTAAGTGACAGACGTGATCGGGATGATCGGGATCCTCATAGCCTGGTGGCTGCCGCATGTAGACCGTTTCAGCCAAATGCCCATTTAGAAAGGCATTGTGAACATCCAACTACCGGAGTGTCCACCCTTGAGAAATTGCTAAAGCAAGTAACAGCCGAACCGTAGTCGGTTTAACCACCGGGCTTAATGTCTCAAAGAAGTCCTCGCCGGCTACTTGATTGTAGCCTTTGGCGACTAGACGGGCCTTATAATGCTCCATCGTGCCATCAGCTTTCTGCTTGGTGCGAAAAACCCATTTTCACCCTACGATGTTCATCCCCGGAGTGGCGGGAACAAGCGCCCACGTGTTGTTATGTAGTAACGCGTTGAACTCTTGGTCCATTGCGTCCCGCCATTGTGGATGGCCCACCGCTTGAGAGTAGCAAGATGGGTCATCTGTGGATGCTGTTAGGGTATGAAACTGCTCCCCAGTCCCCTGTGTCATACATCTTAGCCGCATAACATGAGCCCGCTCCTGAGGTCGGGCTCGACGAACCCGTCTTCTGACCACGGGAGCTCGAGCTGGAGTTGGATCTACAGCAGGACAATGAGTAGTGACCAAGGTTTCATTAATGCCATTGTGATGCAATATGGGACTAGACCCCCATGGTAAGCTGGGTGCGGTTTCATGTGACCCAGACTGTACGGGGCTCTTGGTTGCAAACGGGAAGTGACTTTCATCGAAGCGGACATGGCGACAGATGTAAGCTTTTTCGGTGTTTAGGTCCATGCAGCGGTAACCCCTAAAGGACGGTGGGTAACCTAAGAAGACACATGAACTGGACCGATACTCGATTTTATGACGGTTGTATGGACGAAGGTACGGGAAACAAAGACACCCGAATACACGTAGGTATGTGTAAGTGGGTGGAGATTGATGTAGACGGTAATAAGATGTATCAAACTGGAGTGAGGATGACAGTAACCGATTTATTAAATAAGTTGCTGTTTCAAAAGCATGATCCCAGTATTTTTGTGGAACAGAGGCTTGAGCCATCATGGCAAGCCCGGTCTCGACAATATGCCGATGCCGGCGTTCGACACGACCGTTTTGTTCATGTGTATAGGCACATGATTGCCTGTGTACAATCCCTAAGGAGGTAAATAGTTTGTGTAATTTTTGATATTCCCTTCCCAAATCAGACTGAATGGACTTGATAGAACGTGAAAACGTACGTTCTACCGTCGCCCGAAAAACATCGAAAATTTTATATATATCGGTTTTGAGTCGTAGCGGATAATACCAACAATAGCGGGTATTATCATCTACGAAGAGTACAAACTAACGTGAGCCATCCGCAGAAAGAACAGGTGCGGGGCCCCAAATATCGGTATATATAAGATCTAAAATATTATTGCTAGATTTATCTATCCTATCTAACGGGAATCGTGAGGATTTCCCAAGTTGACAAGAAGGACATAAACCAAGAGATACATTTTTATTTAAATCAACCGGGCAATCCCGTAAGACACGTTTAAGAGCTTGTTCGTGAGGATGACCGAGACACTGGTGCCATACTGTGGATGAAGCACGGGCAGAAACAAACGCATGATAAGGATTCAGAACTGACAATGAGTACAATCCCCCTGAGCTCGGCCCTTTAAGAAGAACCGCCTGTGTGATTGAATCCTTCACAACAAAAAAATTAGGATGAAATTCAAAGTAACAGTTATTATCTTTTGTAAACCGATTTACAGATAATAAAGAAACTGACAACTCGGGGACATGTAAGACACTAGATAATTTTAAAGGCTTAATGACCGAAGGGATAACTGCATGACCCACACTCGAGATTTTCAAACCTATGCCATTACCCACTCTCAGAACATCATCACCGTGATATTCGTCGTCCTGAGAGACCACACCGGAATCTGGCGTAGCGTGTGTGGAAGCACCCGTGTCCGGCAGCCAAGAGGTGACTGCCGTAGCCATGCCACCACTGCCAGCGTCTCCGGCGACCGCTACATGCGCCGATGGTGGTGGCTCGGAGTATCTCTTGTAGCAGAAAGCTGCCGAGTGGCCCTGCTTGCTGCAAATCTGGCAACGCAGACCACCGTTCCGGCCACGACCACCGCGCCCGCCTCGCTGGTTGCCGCCGCGACCGCCTCCGCCTCCGCCGCGATTCTGTCCGCGGCCTCCGTTTCCCTAATGTTGTCCTCCTCTGCCGGCATACAAAGCCGAGGGAGATCCATTCGACGATGCAGGTGCATAAGCGGGAAAGTCATCCGCATGGATGAACTGCTGCGCTTGCAAATAATCCGCCAATTGCGGAATCATCACCGGTGTACCGGTGACTGCCAGGGAGGCCGCCATAGACCAGAATTCCGGTCGCAACCCCCGAAAAAAATACAAATTTTGCTCCGTCAGCGTGAGTGGCCGCCCGGCGAGTGCGAGATCCTCCACCAAATGTTGAGCGCGGCCGAGATACTGCGGGGTTGAGCTATCTCCTTGACGTAAAGCTTGAAACTGCCGCATGAGGTTGAGACAACGGACCTGCGACGAGGACCCAAGCGCTGTTTCTGCCGCAAGCCACACCGACCGGGAGGTCGTCTGTCCAAGCGTGAGATACATCACCTCCTCCGAGATTGATGATATGAGCAAGGATAGGATGGAGGCATCCTGCTCAATCCACGCCTCGTGTTCTAGATTCGGGACGACGGACGCCACGCCGGACTGATCACCGGCCGAGAGCTCGAGCACCGGAGAAGGACATGGCCGTGAGCCATCGATGAAGCCCAGTAACCTTTGCCCGCGTAGAAACGGGATTATTTGTGTTCTCCAATAGAGATAGTTCCGATGTGTCAATTTTAACGACACAAAGTGATGCGCACTAGGGAGGGAATTTGGGGTGGTGTTTGGGGAGGAGACGGTGGCGGTTGTGTGCGTTCTTTCGGAACTAGACGACATTGTCGATCGGAAAAGGAGGAGAGAGAAAACAAAGGATAACAATCGTTAGATTTCTACTGGCTAACTGATACCAGATGAGTTAGGGAAAAGATGATTAATTGAATAACAGAATTACAGATACATTAATACTCTCAGAGAGAGAGAGCTATCTAATAGGCTAGAGAGATCACTAACAGATTGTTATATAACTAATTAATAACATAATAATAACTTAGTCTAATATATATATATATATATATATATATATATATATATATATATATATATATATATATATATATATATAGGCTCCGGATCCCATGAGGTCACTTAGATGGATGAGATGATGAGGCCTAATCTCATCCATTAAATCATTACATATCAAAGGTGAGATTGAAAGAGATTTAGTATCCATTTAAGGTAGTAGTCTATGCATAAGGGTGAATAAGTAATTGTAATATTGGAGCTATTTATGGTTAGGAATAAATTAGAATATATTCCATGCAAAGGATCAACTGATTATGGGATTGAATAATATATTAACGGCAAGAAATTAGAATTGATAGTGTGTGAATTGTTTTTAAGCATTTGTTAACAGCCACAAAATTCAATGGTGTTTTCTCTCCTCAACAACGATGGCGCAACCGGAATTAGGTATGTGCAACCGTATTATAAGTGTTTGATTGTTTTTTGTTAGTCTGTGCATCAATTTTGTTAAGTCGTTGCGTTGCGTAAAAGAAGTGTGTGCAATGGATTCCACGTGTGTGTAATGAGGGCATGAGGAAGGAGTTGAATACAAATCACATTACGTTTACTATGTACCGCATGAGTTTTTAAAAGTTGAATATGCAATCAGGCATTGTGTTTTGATATGATATGTTGTTAGCTAACAAGACATTGGGTAAAAAAAACATGGTAGAGGTTTGTATTAGAATATGCAAGTTAGGTTGACGCCTGTGCAATTTTTTTGGGTTAGTCTTTGCGAGTTAATTCCTTAACCTGGACAAGTAAGTCACAAAAGGTAATAGCGTTATATGCGCAGCCTGTGCATGCTATGTTATTTCCATGTGCAAGTTAGGACTTCATGATGTGCAACTGAGTTTGTGAGCATGTGCATGTGACGCCTTAGCATTTAGTTCCGACTGATTTTGTAATTGCTAGTAATTATTTATGCAAATTTAAGTTGATGAAAGTAACAACATGCATTCTAGGTTTTTCCCATGTGCAAGTTAGGAATTTATGCTGTGCAACTGAGTTTGTGAGTATGTTCATGTGACGCGTATTCCTTTAGTTCCGACTGATTTTGTAATTGCTACTAATTATTTATGCAAATTTAAGATGATCAAAGTAACAACATGCATGCTAGGTTTTCCCCATGTGCAAGTTAGGACTTTAGGCTGGGCAACTGTGTTTGTGAGCATGTGAATGTTACAGCTAAGCAATTAGTAACGGCTGACTTTATAATGCGACCGTAGCCTGAGACCATATGAAGGCCAAATTTTTAATACAATGGAAGATGGAATCCAATTCTATACGAAGTATGCTGCAACAACTTAGAACCCAACACACAAGCCCAAAACCTAAAACGCACAAACGCCAGACCTACTACCAACTAGAATCCAGTGGAATTATTTTATTTTATTTTTTAAAAAGAACCACACCCCTTATAAACCCCAATCGCACAAACCATAACAACGAAAAGCACCAAATAGATATATAAAATAACAACACACCAACATTAAATAGACCATAACATCTTACAATTATAATTCACCTAGCAAAATAGCTTTACGTGAAAAATAAAAACCAAACTACAAAAACCTTCATAACACAACGAAAACTTATGTACATAAATTTTTAAATTTTAAGGTATCAACATGCGACAAAAACCAAGAACACAACGCTGGTTGATAATATCCGTCATAACAAAGAATTGAAGCCATTCGCACACACGTTAACATGACCAACAAGCATGATAAACTATTAGATTTGTCTGCTGTAATTTGGTGAAGGGTTGAACCTATTTATTTGGTTCAAATTTATTCCTTCTAATTTTAGGTCTTCCTTCTCTCTGTGATTCACGAATGACTCAAATGTCAAGAAGTGTAGTTCCTTGAATCCTTGCTAAAATATTACTAATGGGGTTAACTACTCATAAGCTCAATATATCTTCAGAAACAAAGTAGGAAACAAGATACACCACCTTCAGACCATAAAACCAAAAAAAATTCCTCATCTTGAGAGAAACAAAAAATCTCTCAATCACGTTTAAGACCTTGATGTTGAACTGTTTCTATAAACTGAAGGGATTCAAGTGGCGTTCCCAATCGGGTGAGATTAACATAATCTTCAGGGCCGTGATCTGATATTCCTGGAATCAATAATCCTGCCATCCTGCCTAGTGTTAAAACCCAACCCTCTCTGTAATCTCCACCATTTATCCATGAAAGCATGAACCCCCTCATCAACTCAAAACCTGCATTCATCATCTTCGGCATCACCCACAGCAGTGAGAAGTAGTTCTTGTTCGATTCTTCCTCACGCTAAGCCCCACGCTAAGCCCCCATCGATGGATACCAACATCGCACACCCCACATGCAACAACATCTCACACCCCATATACACAAAAAACATCAAACTCAAAGTGAATGCAGACAAGATACCTGGAATGCGTGCGGAAGAGCCTTGCCTCTGTCGCTTGGAACGCCGTGATGAAGACCCCGCCATGAACACCGCCATAGACTGAGCTGGACAAGTGATCGCCGTCAACCGCACGGAAAAGAAATGAGCCGGAGACGCCAACACAATCTCGGAAAGGAACGGACAGACTGGACGAGAAGAAAACGAAGAGGCGGTATTGTGCAAGAAGAAAGCGAAGAGAGAGACGGTAGTGTGTAAAATAAATCATCAAATAAATATCATAATTAGTAAAACACCCCCAAAAAGACATCAACACCCCCACTGCATACTTATCTCACGCACATGGCAATTTATTCAGCCAAATCTCATCCATCCAAAAAAACAAATAGACGTACCAGATCAAGCCTCACCACCTCGCCTGACAATGGTAACCTCACCGGATCCAAAATCTATATATATATATATATATATATATATATGGACGGAG